TATTTAAGATAATGTAATTCAAATTTATTTCTACAAATCCTCTTCAATTTTAGTATATTTTATCAAATCTTTATTTTTAATTTAAAACAACAACTTCATTTTAACATAATTTTCACTATGTATATTTAATATATCATATTTATGATAAATAATAATTATCTAATTTTATTTATTTCTTTTAATATATTATACTTGTCACATCATATACAAACTTTCATCTCAAATCATTTCCCTAATGCAAACAACTTCATCTTCACCTCATTTTTCTTCCAAATCACTTTTCCAAATTCATCTTTAAATCCAAATCCATAAAATCCATACACATGTATCATCATTTCTTTATGTAAAAGATTTCTGACATTCGCTTAATAAAATCTTCGCTTTACAAATTATTTTGTTAATGAAAGCTGTAAAATTTTTGTCACTGTGAAAAAAAAATTTACAATAAATGAACCTTACTCTACAAAGAATCAAACATAAGTAAATTTAATTAAAAGTAAGAATAAATTATGAAGTTACCAACTTATTATAAAGCATATTAAAAATGAAAAATATATACATAATCTTTTTAAGTTGAATTGACCAGATATACTTCTTTGTTTCTTGAAAATGTTAATTATATTTTTATATGAATGCAAATTCCATAAAACTATAATTACCTAAGATGTATGCTAAAATATTAATGATACACATGCTAACTGAAATCAAACAGGATTTTTTAAAATTTAAATCTCATGTAGAAAATAAGAATATATTAATACATGTGTTATTAATTTAAATATTCAAATAATTGAACATTATAATTAAAATTATCTTAATTAATACAATTGTTTTTTTATGGTTAAAAAATTGCTTTAATATGTCATCATATGACTGACATTTACTTATATGGTAAACTTTATATATATATATATATATATATATAATCTATATATAAATTTCAAACTATTATTTATGTTATAAATCAAAAAAATCTTTCAAAGATTTCTTAATTGAAATAGAATATAAATTTTAATTAAAACATTTATTATTATTAATAACAAATGTACAGTTATAAGTATTCAAATTATGAAGAACATGAACACTCATTAATTAACAAAACCATGTACACTTGAATTAAAGTAATGAATAAATTCATTTGCATGCTTTCTCAAATCTACTTATATAAAATTATACATCTGATTATGAAGAAAGTATTGTGTTCTTTCTCAGTGTTTGAATATGGCAGGAAAGAACGAAGATGTGCAAGAGAATATTTGTGACACTGCAACCTCTAATCCAAAACAAAAGATGAAGCATTTTCAGGGGTGATTGATACTGAGAATATTAGAGAGAAGATTGAGTCTGATCCATTTATCAACAAGTTGTTCATTCATTTTTGAAACATTCAGAGGCTAAGGAAAGAGAAGAAGAACATGACATGGAATGTGCCTTTGCTAATTCCTTATTGAGAACTCCAGAGTTCAATAATGGAGAAGAACATGACCAAGGATCAACACCAAATCACCTTAAACAAAAACAGGTGTAGTTTCAACTTCCTGGTTTTGTTGGCCTCAGATAATGCTTTTTCTTATTTGTTTTTTTAAAAATAAATTTGGATAGCAAGATAACTTAATCACACCCTCCTCTCAAACTCCTATATTTTTTTTTTTAATTTTTTATTTTATTTTTACTTGTAAGTTGTTGTTAAAATCAATATTAATAATCAGCATTTATAACATTTATTATAATTTTTTAAACATATTTTTATTTTACATGTTATTAATTGTAATTATGATTAATTTTTATGGACATTATTGATCTATTTACGCATAATTTAATTGACTTATTAAGAGTCTCGTGATGTCAATTATCATAGGTCTTCATATGCATGTTATAACAACATCAATTATCCGTTTCTAAGATAAAATGTTTATAGAACTATTCAAATTCCACTACTAGCCTTTTCACTGTGATTTATGGTAATAATCATCTATTTAAAGTGTTAATATCAATCACTCTCATTTTATTTTTATCTCTAACATATTAATACGGATCCGCTTCAGTATAATGGTAATCTGATTGTAAATATTAGGTTTATGTCTCAATAGGTCCCCTTCAGAATTTGATAGGTCCCTTTTATTTTTTGGCGTCTCAATTGGGTCCTTCTTTTTGTTATTTCTGCAACTAAATCCGGTCCGTCATTTCATCAACGGCGTTAATGATGTGTGACGTGGCCCATAGAACATATTGACAACGTGTAAAGGCCACGTCACACATTCATTAACGCCGTTTTATGAAATTGACGGAAAGGACTTATTTGCATCAAATTAACAAAAATAAGGACGCCAATTGAGACGCCAAAAAATAAAGGGACCTATTTCAAAATTCGGAACAAAACTAGGGACCGATTGAGAACATTAAACCTAAATATTAGGATAAATTTCGATATTATTGTAAACATTTATATTTAAATTTAATCACTTTAGAAGTGATATTTGTTGTTCTATAATCTGAACGCGATAAGTAATCTATATGAAATTTGGACACATGATGAAAACTTTACTTTGCATACACAAACTCACACTTCACTCTATTGACGTAATTAATTAACTTTAAGAAATTCAAATAGAAGAATATTATATTGATTAACTCAGGTGATTTGGTTGGAAATCCAATTAGATAGAAATGAAAAAATAAAACACTTTATAAAGGTAAAGAACTCATTAACTCATTGTCTTAAGATTTTGGATTAAGAGTAGTCTCAATCTCTTATATGGTTGGACTCAAATCTTATTGATGTCTGTGTCTCTATGATAAACCTCCTTTTTGTTAGACCCAACAGATACTTTTTGACCAATCAATTTAGAGATTAAAATAATATACCTAAATTAAATTAAATGTAAATTTAATATTTAATATCAATGTAAAGTTATTATAATACTCTATTATGTACAAATCGGAAGGTAATTATGTCTTATATGAAAAGAAATAATATAAAATAACGACATCCTTAACATTTGCTATCTCCACCCCCATAGCTAAAAGTGCATGAAAATGGTGGAGATGGTCTTCATCATGAGCCTTCAACATCTGCTACTGTAACAAGATCAGCGTAACCCACTTTTATCCTCATGCAGGTCGCAAATCGGTGATATCCACACCCTCTCCGATCACCACCACTCGATCTTTACTTTCCCCTTCTATGCTCACCGAATTTACACCTAAAATATATATACAATATAATTATGTACTATTTTTCTTTCTCACAATGCATCAAACTTTCAACATTTTTAGCTTAGGCAAAGGAAGTAAAGAGACGAAGAAGGCGTGGTGAAAGTTGGCAAACCATTTTCAATCTCCTATGGGTTACACAAACACCAATAATATCTGAGTCAACTATATAAGGGATCAACACCACTTTTTACCCAAAATTTTAAGATAATGAGTTAATGGGTATTTCATCTTTATATATTGCTTTACTTTCTCATTTCTATTCAATGTGAAACTTGTATTTATACTTGGATTCTCAGCCATTACCACCACCACATGCACATAGATAAATAGATAAAAACCACTGGAAAACAATTTCATATAACAAAAAGTAGAAAGTGTGTTACCTTCATGTTTGCTAAGTAAAATTGTCTTTGATGTCTAAAAACTTTCCCTCAGCTGAGATCAGAGAAGTCAAGTCAATGAAAAAAATCATTACAAAGATGTGAACAGAAGACAAATAACCTATTCTTCCTCAGCAAGTTTATTTGACATCATACAAATATTTTACGTTTATTACGACTTGTGTTTCTTGTTTTGACTTCTTCTACTAGGGTTTGGAATTTTTGGTTTCTTTCAATGGAAAATTTTTCCATTTAATTTTATCATTTTCATTTAATACTAAGACTCCAATTCACACTTAACTTTTAAACAATCTTTTTTCTTTTATGTTTTACTGTATACCTAATTACACTTAATAATGACAGAAATTTACACAAAAATAAACACGTCCATAAGTATTAATCGATGAAATTCACTATGAATATATATAGTAAGAAATAAAATTAAATATCATGCTCACAAATAATGAGTAACGGATAATTTAAAACGAACTTATGAACAGATAGAGTACAATTATCATATTATCTATACTCACAAATATGCTAAAAATTAAAATTTAATTTATATTTTATTATATTAAATTAAATTAATTAAAATTAGAATTTAATTATATTTTATTAGGTTAAATTTAGGTTAATTAAAAATTAATTCATATTTAACTTAATTTACATAATATTTTATATTTTTTGTAATCTTATTTATGTTTTACTTTTAAAATCTATAAATTATTTCTTTAAAATATTCATGAGTAATTAGAAATCCGTGGATTTTAAAAAAATTCATAGATTTTTTTTTAAATAAGTATTAAATGGATAACAATGGATTGAATTTTCTTTTATTGTAGATCAAGTAATGGATAAATATTATTTGTGTTTCATCCAACCTGTTTGTCATTTTTAATTATACTGTATGAAGAAAGTGGGGTAGTAAAACTAAGCTATTATTTTTTAAGTCATTAAATATTTTAAGAAAGTATATAGGACAATTTGTATAAAATAATAATCTAACTTTAATTTAAAGATTTTCTTTTCTTATTTCTTTATCTAACATTGATAAAGAAGAAGTTTTCCAAACATTTTTTATTTTTTTTATTTAATATTTTTATTGTGTACATTTTTCATCACAAAGTTCCCGACTTAGAAAATAACATCTATAAATAACATCTTTTGTTTGTTGTGTGAATTAAAATTTATTTAAAATATGTTAAAGTTTATTGGTAGGATGAATGAAATGACATTACATGAGAATGGTGGTATAAGATGTAAACATTTATAAATATTTGTATGATATATTGACTGGGTTTATATATTATATGTATTAAGTACAAACATTATTTATGTTTAATAAATGTATTTTCGATTTCACTAAAATCATGTACTGTGAAACACATTTGAAACATATGTGTGGATATATTTATGATCCTTAAATTTATCTTGACTTACAGAACTCCAAAAATGCTCTGTTTCTCTCTGGCATTACAATGGAAGGTCATGCAACACGATGCTAATGCCTAATTCCTCTTAACACAAAAAAAGCTGATAAAAACACATTAAAGAAGCACATCAAAATGAAAAGAAACACAATAAATGAACAAGGTTTTTCACTCTCTCTTGATCATGTTTTCATTCTTCTAACTTGCCTTGACCTCTGCTAAGCTTATGATATTCGTTTGTCCAACCTTTTTCCTCAATAAATTCGTCAACTTGACAGCATCCACACCATCTCCAATCACCACCAACTTCTCTTTCGATTCTCCCTCTAACCCCACAAAGTTCACACCTGCATTCACCCAATTCAAACTGTTAGAAAAGTTTTCATTTTTTACTTCCATCGAAAGCTTCCAACATCAAACGAAACCAACGCCGCAAATATTGTCATATGAATTATCGGACAAACAACATTGTTGAAAACGAAAAAGAGAAAGAAGGACCAACCGTTTGCTGCAGCACCAAGCTTGAGTGCCTTGGTGCGGCACTTTTGGCAAGTCATTTCCACCCTCATCACAATCTTTTGCTGTCAAATGAACAAGGGCTGTTAGTTGGTTTAGTCTGAGAGAAATAGAAGAAGAAAAAAGGTTCACCATTGAAAACAAAAGAAGAAAGTATAGCATACCTTCATTTTGAGAGTCTCTTCTCTATCTTAGAACTGACAATGGAAGAAGATGCAGTTGTGTTGACATTTTATATGCATGTGGTATGTTGGAAAGCAAAGGAAAGCCAAGTCAAAGTCAAGCAATGTTAGATGTAAATCAAGGGACACTGTACTAATTGCATCATTTCCTATCAACAAGTCTAAACCGTGTATATCCATTCAAGGAGTTGGTGTTAGTTGGAAATTTCTTCTTAAATTAACCTTCCTTCTGAGAGAGAAACAAAAAACAATCTCAATTATTTGAGAGGAGTTACGACAAAAATAATAATGGATTTTGTTTTTTTCTTCTATTTATTTTTGTTATTGTTAGGACTTAAAAAAAAGTGTGTTTTTAGAATTAATTATAGAGTATTTATCTTTAAAAATTTTGGTTTTTGTCTTTAAAAATATTTTAAAAAAATGACGGAGAATAATATGTTTAAATTGCTTTTCATTTAATTCTTAATAAATATAAGACCATTTGATACGCTAGAAAAATCTAGACTTAAGGGAAAAGAGAAATTTAAAACATTATTTCATTTTCACATATAGCTTGTTTTGGTACATTAATAATTTTATATCGATTTATAGTTGGATTAAAAACAATTTAAATATATTTTCTTTCTTTAATCTTTTTATATGTGTTTTAGTAACAAAATTATATGAGAATTTCAACCTTCAAAACGGATAATACTTCAAAAACATAAATTAATTTTAAGATATTATTCCAACATGCTTAAGGTTAGAATATTATCATTGTGAAGATCAATAACAATTTTAAAAAAACCAAACCACACAAATTGTTTTCCTTCAATTTTCTAAAACATCTTTTAAACCTTAAATAAACTTTAAATTCTAAAATCAACAATATTTACATATTTAAGTCGGGAAGAGTTGTATTCTTAATTTTCGTCAATCTTATTTTTATTAAAGTATTTATAATGTTCTTATATATATATTTACTCTTTTCATCCTTCTTGAAGTCGGTTAAAACTTCGACGTTGTGTCGTTGATGTTTATGTTAGCTGTTGGAATGAATTGAGCACGTGTTGAAAACTTGAAAAACATTTTCATTAATTCTATCCGTGACTCTGTTATCAATATAAAACAATATATTGTGAAATAATAAAAACAGTATATATCATTAAGATAACTATTATAAGATTCAATAAATATATTAATGGACAGTGATTTTCGATTGGATAATGATGGAGAATTGTTTCTAAATTATTTTAAATGAAATTGATGGATGTGCGTTTCCAAAATTTAAAAAGAAAACATAGGAGGAAGTGTGATCGGTTGGACCAAGACGACGACGTCTCGAGAACGTAATAGATAATCATTCTTTCTTCCGTGTGAAACAAATAAATTAATAATTAGGTAAGGAAAAAAAATACATAAGAAGCTTTTAGGTACACACAAATTCCTTTATATCTACTCCTATCACTAATACTACTTTAACATTACCAACTTTATTTATTATCATTAATTCAATGCAACACAATTTTTCTATCTATTTGCAACAATTATCAGATTAAATTAGGTTATATTTTCTTAACCATATAATATGATAACAATTATAAATTGTATTAATTTTTTAATGTAACATCCCATAATCTTAAACTTGAAAATTCATAATTTATATATTGTAACATTACATTTACGGTAATCTCACACTTAAAAATTCATAGTTGATATATGTCTATATATATTTTAGACTCATATTTCAACTACAAAATTATGACTTGAGTTTTTCTATTTTATTCTTTTATCTTTCTCTTCATTGGCAGTGAGTCAGACGACATTCCTTTATCTGCTCCCGTATAACGAATTATACGATCATCGCACATACCTAAACACAAACACAAACAAGTAGGGTGAGTTAATATGCAACCAATCATTCATAAAACATGCATATTTACTTTGATGCACTCAACAAACCTCATATAATAATTATGTGAGACACACTCATACCATCATACAACAATCGCATCATAGATACTCATTCCATAATACCACAATTACTAATCGACACTCATCCCACAATACTTAATAGACACCCGTTCACAATACTCAATAGACACTCGTTCCACAATACTCAAGGGACACCCTTTCCACAATACCCAATAAACACTTATCCCGATGATATGTTGATGAGCGGTCAACGGGAGGTTACGCACTTGTGATGTCTTCTTAGTCCTCAACACTATGTCCAAAACCGGCACATAGACCAGGACCTCCTGCCCCTCTCACCACATAATTTGTCCTTCTCAACTTGAGACTGGATGACTATTAGAGTATCAGGATAAGCTCCAACTACGGGACCCTCAACATCAACATATACACGAATACCATAACATTACTGAATCTCTCCATGAGACTCATACCATACTCATATTCCTCAAGTCACATTATACCCTTACAAAATCTCTCCATAATACTCATATCATGTTCAGACGCATAAATTCAAATCCAATATAATAAAATACAATCATCACAGAAATCATACAAAATGAATATATCACAAAATAAATTAACAATACTAAAATATCACCATAAATGGTCATCGGAGAATAATCAAATGTTTGACGAATCAAACTCACCATAAACGCTAGTACATATGACTAGTCACAACTTACTGGATTGGACCAGGGTTGTTCTATGATCAGGGATGTACCAACTTCGGTTTTTAAGATTCCTCGATCCTACCATCACAATTATAATTCATAATTTTATATCTACCACAATAACATGAATTCATCAGACAGTTTCATTCCAACGAGATATATTGCACAATAATTTAACAGTACATAATCTGTTCAACAAGATTTAAGTTAAAAACTTGTCGAGTAGACTTCCAGGAAAGAGAGGTGCGTCACAATGGACAAATTAAGTACCAAGTCTTTCCTTAGCCAAAGTGTTGCTCAACTAGTTTTAACAAATTTCTTATTTACATATTCAAAACAACAACATATAATATTAACACAGAAATTCAATATAGATAGATATACAGTAAGCATTAACAGTATTTACACAGAATTTCAAGACATGAATAGTAATAAAACAATACTAAATCATAATATAAAAGCTTAGAAAGGTTAGCTCCCCTACCTCTATTCCAGACTTCTCTTACTCCGAATTTGTTTTCCCCGAAAACCCTCTAGAGCCTCTACTCTTCTTGCAACTAAAAATTTCTTTCTAACTCTTTCTTCTCTATTTCTCAAGGTTTCTCACTTGATTCTTTCTCACTTGATTCTTCCTCTCTTTGTGCAAAATAGTCTCCCCTCTCATGGCTATTTATAGTCCAAAAATTTTACTATTGATCAAATTTTTTAATATTATTTATTATTTTAATATTATTTTATTATATTAATATCTTAATCACTACTTACATAATGGATTCCTCAATAATGCCTTCAAATCTAAAGTGCTTTATCCACTATCAATATTTAAATTTTCTTTTTACAAAAAGGTAGAAAAGAGCTTGAACCCATGTTATTGAAATCACTACAATTTTCTACCATTTAAGCTACCAAAATTTTTATATTTAACTTATTAATTATATTTTTCATTCACAAAGAAATTTGTTACTACTAGTAATAAAATTGTTACAATTAAGGTAAATATTTTTCATGGATCTTACATTTTCCCCAACAACAAAAAATTTTTAACCTCAAAAATTCTATACTTTAAGAAAATTTATGATAGTACGATATATATATATATATATATATATATATATATATATATATATATATATATATATATATATATATAATATATATTATNCCTCAATAAATTCGTCAACTTGACAGCATCCACACCATCTCCAATCACCACCAACTTCTCTTTCGATTCTCCCTCTAACCCCACAAAGTTCACACCTGCATTCACCCAATTCAAACTGTTAGAAAAGTTTTCATTTTTTACTTCCATCGAAAGCTTCCAACATCAAACGAAACCAACGCCGCAAATATTGTCATATGAATTATCGGACAAACAACATTGTTGAAAACGAAAAAGAGAAAGAAGGACCAACCGTTTGCTGCAGCACCAAGCTTGAGTGCCTTGGTGCGGCACTTTTGGCAAGTCATTTCCACCCTCATCACAATCTTTTGCTGTCAAATGAACAAGGGCTGTTAGTTGGTTTAGTCTGAGAGAAATAGAAGAAGAAAAAAGGTTCACCATTGAAAACAAAAGAAGAAAGTATAGCATACCTTCATTTTGAGAGTCTCTTCTCTATCTTAGAACTGACAATGGAAGAAGATGCAGTTGTGTTGACATTTTATATGCATGTGGTATGTTGGAAAGCAAAGGAAAGCCAAGTCAAAGTCAAGCAATGTTAGATGTAAATCAAGGGACACTGTACTAATTGCATCATTTCCTATCAACAAGTCTAAACCGTGTATATCCATTCAAGGAGTTGGTGTTAGTTGGAAATTTCTTCTTAAATTAACCTTCCTTCTGAGAGAGAAACAAAAAACAATCTCAATTATTTGAGAGGAGTTACGACAAAAATAATAATGGATTTTGTTTTTTTCTTCTATTTATTTTTGTTATTGTTAGGACTTAAAAAAAAGTGTGTTTTTAGAATTAATTATAGAGTATTTATCTTTAAAAATTTTGGTTTTTGTCTTTAAAAATATTTTAAAAAAATGACGGAGAATAATATGTTTAAATTGCTTTTCATTTCATTCTTAATAAATATAAGACCATTTGATACGCTAGAAAAATCTAGACTTAAGGGAAAAGAGAAATTTAAAACATTATTTCATTTTCACATATAGCTTGTTTTGGTACATTAATAATTTTATATCGATTTATAGTTGGATTAAAAACAATTTAAATATATTTTCTTTCTTTAATCTTTTTATATGTGTTTTAGTAACAAAATTATATGAGAATTTCAACCTTCAAAACGGATAATACTTCAAAAACATAAATTAATTTTAAGATATTATTCCAACATGCTTAAGGTTAGAATATTATCATTGTGAAGATCAATAACAATTTTAAAAAAACCAAACCACACAAATTGTTTTCCTTCAATTTT